GATGACGTCACGTACGCGCTTTCGTCGAGCGCGCTTTAGTCTACCACGGGTTTGTGGTGGAACCGAATTCAATATACTTCTCTGGGATAGAAGCTGTTTTTCAGCCTATTTGTCCTTATTTTTATTGTACTGTACTATCTGCCAGATGATAATAGTTAAAAAAAAGGGTGCCCAGAATTCGATGGATCTTTAAGAATGTTTTGAACTTTCTTAAGGCAACGGGAGTTATAAAGCTCTTCCAAGGAGGGGAGAGGGCAACCAATGATCCTCTGGGCGATGACGTTAACTCTCTGGAGTGCTGTCCTATCTGCCACTGTGCAATTGGCAAACTATAGACAGGTGCAGTAAGTTAAAATATTCTCTAGGGTGTAGCAGTAGAAGGTCACCAGCATTTTTTCATTCAGTTGTTGTTTCCTGAGAAATCTCAGGTACTACAATCTCTGCTGGGCCCTTTTGAGCAGTGCTGCAATGTGAGTGCCCCAAGTCAGGTCCTCTTTTAAGATAACACCCAGAAACTTAAAACTGGTCACTTGCTCCACTCTGTCTCCATTGATAAGCAAGGCTGGACTTTTGAAAAGTGCAGGAAAAGTGTTCTGACTGAGGCTTCCCAAAAGCTTGAAGCAAACTCCTGGTACAGACAAAAAAATCCTTTGTTAATTTACTGTGAATTCTGCTCATTCACATACAGTCTTTCAAGGGAGGATTTACAGTCACAGACCTTATCTGGCATAGAGAGCTGCCAGGCCGATATCTGCAAAACTTGACAAGGAGTCTCGGAGAGTCACAAACCAATTAAGTGAACTAATTGTCTCCTCTTTCGCTCCTCTTTTAATTTCCAGGGGGGTGGGATTTATCATCCACCTGTGGCCTTACTCCCAAGTCGACCCCTGTTCTTTAGCTGTTCCCATCATCTGGCAACTCTGCGCATACGCACACTGGGAACAGGCTCCAGTTATTCCTTTCCTTCACTGATGTCTGACTCTGAAGGCAGCTGATAACTGGCATACGACTCTGGCTCCCTCTCTGCCTCCGACACAGAGCCCTTATCAGAGCCTTTCCCAGACTCCAGGACTGGCCCATGTTCCTCCCCAACCCCCTCACTGTCTGAATCTGCTGCTGGCTCCACTGACTGCTGCTGGGCCACAACAAAAAGTTAGCCTGCAGCAGAATGCCTGGTTCAGAGAGCTCTGAGCTGTTTTAACATGGAAGCCTGTCTGGTTTTTTTTTTCCAGGACCGTCATGGCGCTCACAATGAAGTGGAACCGCTGTGTGTGCTGGATTTCTACATTCACGAGTCTCTTCAGCGGCACGGCTACGGCAAGGAGCTCTTCCATTACATGCTGCAGGTGCAGCCCTCTTTTTCGGAGTTGCGTAATCCAAGAAATAATGTCCTGACTTGGATTAGGCCACTGTATTTCGTTGTTACCCCTTGTTTCTTAGAAAACGCAAAACCTCCTCTTTGCTAATTAAACCTGCAGAACCGAGGCGTGGACATAAGAGCTATCATAATCCAAGAATGATTTGAAGAGAGACAGTGCTTAGGGTGCAGTACTGCAGGCCACTTCTGCTGACTGCCGGCTGTCTGCAATTTGGCAGTTCAAATCTCACCAGGCTCAAGGTTGACTAAGCCTTCCAGCCTTCCGAGATCAGTAAAATAAGGACCCAGATTGTTGGGGGCCATATGCTGACTCTGTGGACCGCTCAGACAGGGCTGTAAAGCATTGTGAAGTGGTATATAAGTGCTATTGCTATTTCTGAAATCCTAAAGCTCTATCAAACAAGAATTAGTGGGGTTCCAGTAGAATATTCCGTAGCTTGCTCTCGTCCAGATCTTCAGGAAATACTTAATTTATGTGATGGCTGGGAATTTGGGGACTTGAAATTCCAATGTATCTGGAAGTCCCAAAGTTGGAAGGAACTCTTTAATAGGAAATGGATTCTTCAACTAGCCAGGTTGAAGGCCATGAATGGGACTGACAAAAGCTTTGTGCAGCACAGGGACTCTTATTTTGAATAAAAATTTGCTTCATAGCGTAGCTCTTTTAGTAAAGATGTGTTTTCACTATTCTCTAAATAATGGCTACTATAATTTTTTTTTTACTTTTATTTGGGAGGGAAATTGATTTTAGGAAGGTTAATTAATAAAGAGCTTCTTGTACCCGGACATTGTACATTTTAATACAAGTAGTCCTTGACTAACAATAATTTGTTTAGTGACAGTTTGAAATTATACCGTTAGTTGCACTCAAAAAGGTTTTTCACGCTTATGACCATTGCAGCATCCCCATAGTCACGTGATCAAAATTTAGTTGCTTGGCAACTGGCATGTATTTATGATGGTTGCAGTGTCCTGGGGACATGTGATCACCTTTCGTGACAAGCAAAGACAATGGGGAAGCCAGATTCACTTAACTGTGTTACCAACTTAACAACTGCAGTGATTCACTGTGGCAAATAAGGTCATAAAACTCACTTAACAACTGTCTTGCTTAGCAATGGAAATTTTGGGCTCAATTGTGATGGTAAGTCAAGGACTACCTGTAAATAAAAAATTCAGAAAAAAAGGGAATAAGAACCTCGGATATCTTTTTGTCTGATTATTTCTTTCTGAGGTAAATACCCACCCCTTCTCTTTTCAGATCAGATGCAACCTGGCCTGATTGTGAAAGATAAAATAATGATATCTGTCTCTAAATCTTATTTTCCCCCCTGAGAAGTAAATTGCAGAGAAATTCTTTCTCTTTTTATTCACTCAGCGAGAGCGAGTAGAACCCTATCAATTGGCAATCGACCGGCCATCCGAAAAACTTCTGTGCTTCCTACGTAAACACTATAGCCTCACTGACACAATTCCCCAGGTAAGCCGCCTGCTTGAAAACAAAGCCAGCTCTCACTTAATAGTATTGTTTTGTCATCTGTCATCCTTTTGCCATCCTTTTGAACCAGAACCAGAAAAACATAGAGCTGGGTCATTCTGCATGCTTATGTGTGATTTTTGTAATGCTGATTTTCCACATTTTAAAAACCATGACATGAGCTGTGGAAAAAGTGACTTTACTGGCTAATACCTTAATAAGGGACAATGAAAATACCATATTTTTCAGACTATAAGACCCACTGGATTATAAGACGCACCTAAATTTACAGGAGGAAAGCAAGAAAAAAATAGTTTTTGGCCTCTGTGCGTCATGTTTTTGACTTCCCCAGCCCCTAGAAGCACTCTGCAGGCTTGTACTGTGACCTGGCAAAGATTCTACAATACATATGCTGAGAATTTAACCCGGCATCTTCTGCATGCATAGCATAAGGCCTATCTCTGAACTCTGTCCTTTTCTCTTTGTGATCAGCTTGGTTAATTTAATGCTTTTATTATTATTTTTGTTTCAGGTGAATAATTTTGTAATTTTCCAGGGCTTTTTCAGCCACCAGCATGGTGAGTCAGTGATATAAATACCTAGCTATATTAATTTGAAGTTGTCTGATCCAGCACAAAGTGTTTTAAACAGTAAGATTTCTGATTTCAGAGTTATGAAGACATACTGCGACAGCTGTTGGCTTAGAAATGCTGAAAGACGATATCCAATACATTTGCAGGGCACTTTACAGGAGGAATTGGATTATATTGCTGTCTTATAAACAGTCTATATAGCAAATAAATAGATCTACTGGAATGAGATATGTAGCGCTTGAGAAAGTTGAGGCGGTACCTGTGGTCTCAATTTATGACTGGTCACTTAGCAAGCATTCAGAGTTACGACCTGCCTGAAAAAGGGGACTTACTATACAGATCCATAGTTTCCTCAGTCATGCCCCCCTCCCCACCTTACAGTCATGTGACCAGACTTTGGGCACTCAGTTAGACAGCTGCATATATGGCTGTTTGCTGCATTCCACAATCACAAAATCAAATTCTTTTACAACCATTACCGTATTTTTCGGAGTATAAGACGTAGATTTTTCCTTCAAAAAAGAGGCTGAAAATCTGGATGCGTCTTATACACTGAATACAGCATTTTTTTCTTTCTGTCAACCTTTAAAAAAAAAGAAAAGAAAGTAATGAAAAGGGATATTAGATGGCAAGGAATAATAACAGAACAACCAGAACAGAAGTGCCTTTTATTAACACACCGTATTTTTGGACTATAAGACGCACCTTTTTCCCTCAAAAAATCTGGGTGAGTCTTATACACTGAATACAGCAATTTTTTTGCCTCCTGAAACTCTGCCCATTCCCCAAAATGGCCATGCATAGCTTGTAGGAGGCTTTCAGAGAGCTGGGGGCTGGGGAGGGCACAAATGAGCACAAAATGGGCCTTTTTTTGCTCAATTTTGCCCCAGTCCCTAGGAGCACTCTATAAGCTTCATAATGCCCTTTTTTTTTTGGAAAAAAAAATGGGCTGTTTTTGGGAGGTTTGCAGAGTGCAAAACCCTTTTTAAAAAAAATTTGCCTCTTCAAAACCTTGGTGCGTCTTATACTCTGGTGCGTCTTGTACTCCGAAAAATACGGTAATGGGCAGGCTCCATTACGGCTGTAATTTGGGGACTACCTGTAGTACATTTATTTCTATTGCTGCATTAACTCTGATTTTGCAGCTGTTGGTTCTACTATAGTGACGGTGCAAATATGCTGCTTGTGAAGAACTAAATGTAGCAGAAGATTCCATTTTATCTGCCATATTCCTGTTTTTCATGAAATAGTATACTCGTTAAATTTTTTGTATGAGAGGATGACTGATCATGGGAGTTTGTTAGAGTCAGAATGGGGAAACCATGAATGATTCAAGCTGACAACAATAATGAATAGTTTGTCAAAATTAAACACAACACAGTAGATTATTTCTTCTGTAGATCAGGAATATCCTGCATTCATTTCATAGCTTTTGTTTAATCATATAGTACTCATTCTTTGAAGCCATAAGTGTTATCCTGCTCTGAAATAAAGACAAATAAGAATATGATTTAAATAAGCATCTGGTAGGTGACATTATAATGCCACACACATGATGTCACCACACAAATGATATGATTGTGTGCACTGTGCAAATTATATAAGTAATGTTGTTTGCCAAATAATACGATGATACATGTTAGTAGTAAGAATGGACAAATTGTCTCTTAAAACATTACATTATGTTCTCCCAGTCTTTGTTCAGGATAATCTTATATGAAAATATCATTTTGGATTTAAAACCTGAAAACAAATGGACAAATACATCAACCAATCAGAGGAACACCGATGGGAACACTACTCTGAGGACCTCTAGCAGAGAATATAATGCAGCATCTCTAGACGCTATAACAATCCCACACATAAAACCAGAAGTAGGGATCCAATTCTGTGTGTAGGCAGCACTTTTGTCAAAATTAAAAGAACAACTAGTGAAGACTGTTAGAGTTTGCAGCTTTCATCCAGCACACAAGTAAATAATTCAGCAGGATTCATTTATAGAAGAAAGTTGTTTATATACAACAATATAAAACATGATGCATGTATACAATACCCATGCAGCTCTTTCAACGTGGTAGGAGAAGCAGACCCAGAATTCAGAAGCACACATTTTACAGAAGCTATGAGCACCGAACTTAAATTTAAAACAAATCAATTAAGCTAAGCCACACCCAGGCTCTGAGCCATCTGACATAGCAGCAACAGATACTGTTTTTTAGTCACCAAACAGTTCGCATTGGCTGACTTGTTGTTATGGCTGTCCGACTCCTATCAGAGACTATAATGCAGCATCTAGAGCAATGGTTCCCAACCTTTTTTTGGGGGGGGGGCACACCCCACCTAAGCATCTCTAAAATCCTGATTGTTGTCCCCCCCCCCCCCGTGACATATATGTTAGGTAAGCTCCCCGTTGGGAGAACGAGTACATTCAGAGAAGCATTGTGAGAGTTGTGTTGGAGAACACACAAACCAGCATACAGAGACACTGCAGTTTAAATAGGCTTTTACTTTCATGGAAATAGAGGCATCAAGGTCCATCAAACAGTCCAAGTCATACACGGATAAGTAAGTCAGTCATCAGTGTCTTTCAGTTAAGGGATAATCCAAACAACATAGTCCAGTATCATATAATCAGTTCAGAACTCAAAGTTTGCTAGCAGTTGCAAAACTTACAATAGCTCACGGCACTCAGATCAGATCAGCCCAGCATCTAATGAACAGAGAGCTAACAATCATTCTGGCTCCCTCTTATGGCCGATTGAGGAAAACAGCAACCAATCACATTTTACAGTATGATTTAAAGAAACAGGTACAGCATTGTTACATGATTTATACATTGCCAACCCAACTGTTAGAATTATATTCCTAACAATATAATTCTTACTTTGCTCAAAAAGCGAACTCTACTCACGCGGAGGAAGCCTAAAAGGCCATTAACCTGGTTTCAACAAGATTCAAATTGCCTCCATTAAAAATCAAATTGCCCCCCTGTGGGGCATGGGCCCAACATTGGGAACTATTGATCCAGACGCTACAAGAGTCCCACACGTACAACCAGAAGTATGGCTGCCATTCTGTATGTAGACAACATCTTTGTCAAAATAAAAAGAACAGCTAGAGAAGACCACGTAAACTAACATCTTTAAAGGAATCAAAATCACCAGATAAGAAGACAGCAAGAACGCAGTATCCTTTCTAGATCTCCTCCTCAGCATAGAAAACAATGGCAAGTTAGAAGCACGTGTCTGTTGAAAAACAATCCACACTAGCCAAGTGCTGCATTATCAAAATAACAACCCAGCTTCCCACACGAGAGCTGGGTGAGAATATTATTCAGATGAGTGCAAATACATTGCGGCAGCCCAGAACGCCAGAAAAAGGAATCAGACCTCCATCTACACAACATCTTCCAACAAAATGCATACCCATGCAACTATCAAAAAGTGCCTCACCGCTCAAGCTATGAAAAGAATGACATTGTCATAGTCAAAAACTTCTCAAAACAACCAACAGACTATTACAGTCACTGGATCCTCTAGAACAGGGGTCCCCAACTTTGGCAACTTTGGTGGACTTCAACTCCCAGAATTCCCCAGCCAGCAAACCTAATCCTTTGTCTGTGCAAATAAAGCTTCACTGCTTGTCCACTGCTTACGTGGCCCAGTTCCCAATCAACTGTGGCCCGGAGGTTGGGGGGCCCTCCTCTAGAATTTGTCTTATTCCCTTTTGATAAACGATTAAAAATAGTGCCAGGCAAAAGCAGTTATAAGAAGCCTTTTATATTCTTTCTACCTCATCCTCAGAAATTCTCTGTCAATTAGGTTTAGGCTTTCTGTGCTTAAATAAATTTTTGATATCCAGAAATGTTGCAGTAGATAACATATACTGCAGTTGGTCGGGACCAATCCTTGACTTAATGACAACATTCTGCAGTTTGCGGAATGAATTACCTAGCTGGAGTTATGGAAATCTTTCAACGACTGACATTGTTTCTGCTCTTTCACTCAGCTGTTCATAATCGTCACACTGCAATTTTAGACTAATTTATTGAGATTTGTCTTCTCGCACCCCCACATAATTTTGAATGGCCATACTTCACACTGTGGTTTTTGAAACATATTCTCTCATAAGAATGGAAACTTAATATTACTGGAGGTATTTTGGATAATACTTTCCTACCACAACCAAATGCTCATTTGTTTTATTTACCCTCTTGTTGCAGCTCCAGCAAGAAAACTGCCTCCAAAGCGCTCTGAGGGAGACATAAAACCATATTCGCTGTCAGATCGAGAATGTAAGCAGTGTCCAATCCTAACCGGAAAATGAGCTTGAGTTTTTTTTTTGAGACAATTCAGGTGAATCGGTGCCTAAACTGAGCTGTTATCTAGATTACAGCTTTGTGGAAATGGTTCCAGTTTGGTCGTCTCCTCCCATTTTAGCACCCAATTTGGTCTGCTTTTGGGAGGTGGGGGGCACTCAGTTCATAAGACAGAAGCCTGTTCTGACCTAGGCTTCTCCGAAAATCACAAAGCAGATTCCTGGCCCCGACAAAACCCCTTTTATTAAACGAATGTGAATTCCTCTCATTCACATTCAGCAAAGGCCTGGCAAACAGTCTTTCAAAGGTGTATTTATGAACACAGACTTTATCTATCTTGGAAAGCTGCCATGTAATTTTTCCCCAAACGCACTGCTGTGGAAGAAAGACTTGGCACAGTGTGTCTAAGATTCACGGACAGATCTTCACACTCCTGAAATGAATCTAACGAATGAAGGAACAAATTGTTTCCTGCAAAAGCCCACTCCCCTTTCACTTCTCTTTTATGTCCTATGGGAGGGG